CCTCAGCAAGCCCAGCTCCCTCATCCAGGCCCATGGCCCACACGGCCTCACCAGCCCACTCTCCCATCCTAGCCTTTCAGCGAGGGCAAGTTCTAACCATTCCAACAGCAGCATCTCAGGCGTCCAGTCACTTTCTTGTCGATGGGACAAAATATCTGAAGCCACAACTTGAGGAGAAGAGGTTTATTTTGGCTCACAGCCTCCCAGAGTTCACCCCACGGTCAGCTGGCTCTAAGGCAGACATGGCACGGCATTCTGGAGGAAAGCTGTTCAGCTCATGGTGACCGGGAAGCGGAGAGAGAGAAGGGAGGAGGCTGGGACAAGAACACACCCGCCCACGTCCTAACCTCCATGACCCACCTCCTCCAAGCCTAACCTCCTAACAGCACTTTCCGCTATGACTTCATCAGTGGTTAGTCCAGAGATGAGTAGTGTAGCACCCCCATGAGCCAATCACCTAACAAATGCCCCTCCTCTGAACGCATGAGAATTAAGGGGGTATTTTGGAAGTAAACCATAACATCAGGGTTTGATGGAACCAGCTTGGCTTACTGTTTTTTTGGTACCGGGGATCCAACTCGGGTCCTTGCGCTTGCAAGGCAGGTGGTGGAGCCACTGAGCTAAATCCCTGGCCCCAGTTTGGTTTACTTTTAACATTTTTTATTATAAACTTGATAAATAAAGAGCTCATAGAAAATAAAGGTACAGCTGACAAACTATCAAAAGCAAGCATTATGTGAACACAACTTGGTCAGAAACTCCACACAACCCAGGACAGGTCATGTGTGCCTTCCCTACCAAATCTGCCACCTAGATTTCCATCGTATTAACTTCCTTATTTTTCTTTAGTTTTCTGCCTAAATGTGCATCCTGAACTAACTTTCCGGGACTATTCCTAGGCTTTATATTAATGAAATCACAGAATATGAATTTTGCAGTTTGGCTTCTTTTGCTCAGTGTTATGGGTTTTTCTTCCCAGTTTGTGTTTTTAGTAATATCTATATAGAAATATAATTCATATATCATGCAATTCACCCATTTAAAGTATACCACCAAATGGTTCTTAGAATATTCACAGATCTACGTAATCTTCCTCAAGTCAATTTTGGAACATTTTTATCATCTCAAAAAGAAATTCATGCCAAGCATGGTGGCATGCCTATAATCCTAGCACCTGGGAGGCTGAGGCAGGAGGATTGCCATGAGTTTGAGGTCAGTCTGGGCTACATGGTGAGTTCAAGCCCAGCCTAAACTACACAGTGAGACTCAAAATTAAAAATTAAATGTCTCAAAAATTCAAAAAGAAGAAAACGCTGAGGATTTAGCTCAGTGGCACCGTGCCTGCCTCACAAGCACAAGGTCCTGAGTTTGATCCCTGGCACCAAAAAGCTCTATTAGCATTCTTCAGAGAGACAGAACTAACTGGATATTTATCTAGGTTAATCCATATTCTTGTATTTGGCTATAGTTCATCCATTTTCACTGGTTCATTATATTATTATACACAGTGTGTTACTTGTCTTTTAGCAACTGATAAGGGCACAGGGTGACATTAGGTGGATGCACTTTAAATTAGTCTGACAAACAGCAGAGGAATGAGACCACCTAGGCAGGCTAGTGGAAGGCAGCGAGACACAGACTTCACAGAATTCACCTGGGTGGAGATGGACTGAGGGCCCATCAGTGATGAACAAAGAAAAGGCAGGGGATTTTGTAGGGGATTAGGAAGACATCTGTCACATACAGGGCTCAGAGCCAATATTTGTGGTTGGGGTCCATGCAGCAGTCAAGGCAGATGTATGGATGTTATCAGGTAACTTGGCATTAGGAAGATGTGCTATACTCTGTAGTCTTATCTCTTTTCTGTGACATCCCATTCTGTGTTCTGTCTGTTTGGAGACAGCACAGCCTGTGTTGGGGGAGAGCACAACCTGCATCTGCAGTGTGTTTTGCTGAGGGCTGTGCTTTTTCACTGTAGCTTGGAATTAAACAGCATATTTATTAACCGTGTCATGGCCATATCAGGCCTGACAGTTAGATGCCCATCTACGGTCCAATCCGATGTCGGGGGGAGGTATGGCTGGTACCTCACTTCAATAGGTGGTACCGTTGGGTATGGTGATTGCAGACTATGGCTGGTCATTGTTTCACATTGCTCTCATCAAGGGTCAGGGACTGAGTTCCTCCCCTTGAATTTGTGCAGGCAAGTGATTACATTGATGGGTAGAAAGGGATACTATGTGACACTGTAGCTTTAGACCCGGGTCACTTGTCTTGGAGAACCTACTGCCATGCGTGAGAAGACTTCAGCAGTCCTCTGGAGAGGTCCAATGTGGAAGAGGTATGAGCCTTCTGCAACAGCACTGACCTTCCAGATGTATGAATGACTTTCTTAAAATTAGTTGAAGCCAAGGGTATGGCTTTAAAATCTCTTACCGAGATCTCAGATTTAAGGTAGTAACAACATTAAGTGAAATAATAAACCTTTCATGAATCTTAAGGGTACTGTCCATCAGCATAATTCCAAAGTAGAGGGGATTTATCCCAAAGAGATCTGTGGGTTTAGTCTAATGAAGTGAATCCAATAAGATTCATAGAAATCCACACAGTTTTTAAAAAATTATATTGGCAGAAACATTGCCAGCTTGGGTTGTAAAGGACAATATATATAGAGAAAAGGCCTTTGGATTCCCAAACTTCTGCAGTTAAAATGCAGGGTGAGAAAACTACTCAGCTGCTAACATTGGCCATCTTTTATGTAAAAGGAAGGATGGCTTGGAGTAAGGCTAAGAGCCATGAATAATATCCTCAGGGCTTGGAGGCTTTTATTTGTTTGCTTTTGAAGACAGGGTCTCCTTTTGTAGTGCAGGCTGCCCTTGAACTCACTATGGATCCCAGGCTGGCATTGAACTTGGGGCAATTCTCCTGTCTCTGCTTTCTGAATGCTGGGATGACAGGTGTGTGCCCAGTTAGGCCTCCTTGAAGTTTTAATCTAAGAACTGCCAATGTATGTCTGCTAGGTCTCATAATTGTTAAGCACTTAATCAATACATATGTCCCACACTGCCCCTTTGGGAGCGCACCACGCATCACTGCTGTGATACCTATGCGAGCAGTTCCCCTAGGCCTGTCTCACTATTATTTGTGAGATGTAAAGGAGAAGATAACATCTTTCTTTAGTTCACAAGCCTTCAAGTGGAGAGGACGTGCACTTACTTAGGGGTTGTATTTAAGGAACAGCTAATAGAGCACACCTGGAGCAGCTATCGCGTTGTGAGGATGTTCCAGCATCCCAAGGAAGCCAGGCACGGTAGCACATGCCTGTAATCCCAGCACTCTGAGAGGATAAAGTAGGAGGATCGCAAGTTTAAACTCAGCCTTGGAAATTGAATGACTTATAGAGACCCTGTCTGTTATGATTTAAATCTAGAGTGCTCCCCAGAAGCCTCATGGGTTCAGAGGTGGGGCTTTTGGCAGCTGATTGAATCATGGGGCGCTAACTCATCAGTGGATCAATCCATCAATGAGTTCAGAGCTGAGTAAGATATGTGTTTATTATCCAGGCTATTAATTTTCAGGGTAGTTTATTTTACAGTAATAGATAATTAATATAACCAAGCACTGAGATGAGCTGTACCCAGTGTCATTTTGTTTAACCCACACAATGACCCCAGGTGGGGTATCAGGAGTATTATATATTCAAACCATCAGTCCTTTCATTATAAAATGAAACATAATTATAACTTTCATCACCTTCTAGAACAGAAGTCAGTAAATTTTTAGCAAGTAAGGGGTCAGATGATAACCATTTTGGGCTTTGAGAGCCATAATGTTTCATAGCTGTTCAACTCTACAACCACAAGCAGCACATAAACAATAAAACACAGGCACATAGCGACAAAAACGGCAGCAGGCTGCATTTGGCTAGTTTGAGCTCAGGCCTGTTCTAGAACTAAACGTTGCCTCTCTTTCAGTCCTCACTTACTTGCTGGGAGACAGTGTAGTCTAGTTAAGTTCCAGCTTTTCCCCGTCATTTCAGGTTTAAACTCAGTGATAGGGAAAAGTTTTATAAATAGCAAAAACCTATATAGTGTTACAATGTAAGATGGCTTCTGCTGTCTCTAACAACAGTTTGTTTTTGCTCAGAACTAATAGGCACCAAAGGCACTAGTTGCTGAATGAGACATTTGGTCTGACCCTGAGATAACAGGGCACAGCAAGACCTTGAGCTCTGAAGAGACCGGACTCACATGATCGTAAGAGTGTCTAGATGAAAGAACCCATGGCTAACATTTGCTCCCCTGACCCTGAACACCCCCCTTCCTATGGGCTGGAATAGATAAGTGGGCAAATCTTGAAGGTAAACTCCCCAATTACAAAGAACTGTTACATCTGTGTTGAAAGCTAACTATCCTGTGACTGTGATTTGAACTGTGAGAATGAAATGTAACCACCCAAATGAAGCCAAGGCTGTAAAGCCCTATAAAAGGAGGAGTTGTAACCCAGTGTGTTGTCGATCCAGGCACGGCTTATGTGTAATCGGTCCTTATTGATGAGTAAATTTGTTATTTTACTTCCATTTTGCTGCCTCTCTGTGAGTCACTGACTGATTCCTTCTGTAACATTAGTACTCCTGAGTCTTCCACCCTCTTCCCTTGTCTTCTCCTTGAAATGGCCTCTCTGATCCCAGGACACTTCCCTAGCACTGTGGCACTGGAAAGAGAGAGTTCCATTGACCAGTGAGTGTCTCAAGACTCTGGCTGTCCTCCTTGCTAGCTGCTACTGAGATACCTGCCTCTTGCTAACCTCAGATTGTCAATCCATCCAAGTTCCTTAAGCCTCCCTTCTGTCAGCTATGAGACCCCCTTAAAATCCAACAGCTTTCCCACTTTTGTTTCCTTCAGTACTGGAGATCAAACACAGGACCTTCATACTGAACTTCACCCCCGGTCCATTTTTAATTTTTATTTATTTTTAAAAGTTTGAGACATAGTCTTGCTAATATGCTCAGGCTGGGCTTGAACTTGCAATCCTCTTGCCTTAGCCTCCCAGAGTGCTGAAATTGCAGGCATGCACTGGGATACATTTTTAGGCACAGAAATTCTATGGCTTCTCCAGCCACTCATACATCCAAGACTTCATGGACTAGCTGGTGGCTGCAACACAAAGTACACACATTATTATTGTGTGCTCCTGGGGCTTCTGGATGAAGCTAGAGCCTGAGAAGTGAGGTCAGGTCTCCTTCACTCTGGATCCCCAAGCCTATCTGAGGGTTCCAGTTCCATCTTTTTTGAAGCCCATCCTCCCACCACCAGCAAAGGCTCAAGGATACAGCCCAGCACTTGGCCCTCCCTGAATTCTCCAAATTTCCCTGCCCAGTGTTTGCAGATGTTCAACATCCTTTCTCATCTAGATAAACAAAAGATTCTTCTAACCTTTAGGCACTTGAACCCAAGAACTTCAGAAACTGAAAAAGTACAGTTCATGTCTTACTCCTTTCCTTGAAGAAATAGGGACAGATCTGGACTGAAGACAGAGAACAGTGGAAAAGAATGAAGGGATTTCAGAACAGTACTGCAAAATTGTGTCCCACCAGAGGTAGGTACCATTATTAGGAAACTGAGGCCTTGAGAGATTAAGAAACTGGAGTTCTTGGGGGAAAGCCCAGTATTTAGAACCAGAAGCCAAGGCTAGAAACTTGGGCCTCTATAGCTTTTGATGGTGTCCCAACCCTGCCTTCCTCTCCTTTACCTGGATAATGCTGAAGTAAGGTGTACCTGAGTCCTACCATGCAGCTCCAGGCCCAGTGCTACCCCAGGAGATACTCTTACGCCTTTTCCGTTTTGGCAGTCTCTCTCAGGCCTTCCTCACTGAGATCTGCTGACAGGTGGTAGGAACTAGAGCAGTGGTCATCAACTTCACACTTACCTGACTGTGTGACCTGGGCAAGATTTTCCCCCTCACTGGGCCTCAGTTTCTTCATCTGTACCTGGAGATTATAATAGTAATTCAGTACACAGTCACTGAGGGCTGGGAGGATGTGCTGGAAGCTGGGGTTACAAAAGGGAACAAGACAGTTCCAATGCACACAGTAGGTGTTCAGTGCAGGATTTGTATGACTTGCTGCCAGCAGCCCAGCTGTCTGGCCTGCTGAATGGTGGCTTTCTCAGGGAGTTTTTCTTTGGCAAGTTAGTGCCTTTGTCCCTAAAAGATGAGCAGGTATCTGCTTTCTTGTGTCATCAGACTGCTGGGGCTCCAGAACAGTGGGCCAAGCAGTTGGTATCCTTGCCTGTTTTTAGCTGGTGGAGTTAACTGGAGTGGATGTGGTGGGGTCCTGGGGGTCTGAGAGATTGGGAGATTTACACACAACCAGTTGGGAGAAGCAGGGATTGGCAGATGCTCCCCCTTAGGAATATGCTGGCAAACTCTCCCTAATTCCTGATCATGAAAGCCACAGACCACCTCCTCTGTGCAGCCTTCCTTGATATCCTCAGAAAACACACACCTAAAAGATGAATAAATAGAATAGGGAATGGTGGTGCACACCTGCAATCCAAGCACTAGGGAGGCTGAAGCAGAAGGACCACAAGTTTGAGCCCAACCTGGGCGAGTCAGATCCCCTATCTACTAAAATAACCATGAGCAAAGTCATTTTTGTAAATGTTTCTTCCTCTGTAAAAATGGGCGATTATCATGCTTGCCTCCCAGGAATTAAAGGGTTTAATTGGTTCAAAGCCAGAGTACAGGTCCTGATATAGATGGACAGACAAGATCTCTTGTAAGCCGCATACTCATAGGGTCTGCAGACCCCTAAAGGTCTCCTTACCCTTTGTGTCACCATGGGCAGTGTGTGAGTGGTGGCAGGAGGAGAGGGGACTCGGTGGTCTTCTCTAGAGGCCACCCAGTGAGAAAGTAGCCCGCATAGGTTGGAAGATAGATCTGCGACTCTGGCCAACTGCAGCCAAATTCCTAGGCCACCATCGCTGAGGAAAACACTCTCCTCTGTATTTTCCTTCTTTCCATTTCTAATTCCACGACCTTCCCATTTGGGAGGCTGGGGAAAGGGGACTCTGACCCAGGGTGAGAGCCTTGGCTTACTGTAAGGTGAGGACGTCAGGGTCTTTGGAACCCCAGAAATGGGAGCGGAGTCGCTCCGTAATAGGGAAGGGTCTCGCAGACCACCAGGGAGTCCCTCAACCAGCCAGGAGGGGCGAGAGTCCCCGAGACAGGGCAGTGGGCGGGCTTCCCTGGCCCGGAGGCGGAGCCCGGGGAGAGGCACGGCCTCCTGAGAGGGGCGTTGCTTCACCGGCCAGGCTAAACCGCAAGGGGCGGATCCGAGATGAGGAAGC